AAGAAAAGTGGAGGTTGAGCATGTCCGAACTGAAGATCAGTTGGCTGATATACTGACTAAGTCTCTTGGGCGTGCAAAGTTCACAGAACTCCGGTGCAGACTTGGGATCACTCAGGTCAAGTGAGAGCAACAGGATTAGGGGGTGATTTGAAGTATAATCCTAGTTGCTAGTATCAGTTTTACACTAAGTTGCATTAGCTGAATAAGTGGCCGGAAGCGTGTGCATGTCCACGTCCGGTTCAGTTTTCTGTTTTTCTTTAGTTAGTTCAGTTAAGCGCCGGCAAGACCGCTTCCATGGGATGGCGTGGAGATGCAGCGGATTTGGCGGCGGCGTAGTTGCTCGCGCAAACTTAGCATCGTGGGATGGCACGATCAGTAGGCTAGGTGTGCGTGGGCGTGATCTCCTTTGTATTCGGCAACTCGTTTTGAGCTCTGCATAAATAACAGAAACACCTGAAAAGGCTGCAAGCAGTTCAGCAGCGAAAAAGACTCTGTCAGACTTCATCCTCCTTGCGATCCGATCTTCCTCCTTCCCTCTCTCTCGCTCGGCGGGTCAGTTTCTGCAACAACACGGCCGACCCTGGCCAACGTGCTGCAGGTTGTCGCCAAGACGGCACCGCTGCCGGACGTGCCGCTGGTGAAGCCCGCGTTTGTGTGGCCGCCGGAGGGGGCGTTACTGGACGACGACGTGGATGATGGTTTTGCGGGGACGAGCCGTGATGATTCTCGTTACTGGGAGGAGGAGGAGACCATGCCGAGCTTCATGTCGTCGGAGATCACCAAGCGCAGGGCTCGGAATGTTGATCAGCACAAGGACGCGGGGGAGATAGAGAGTTACGTGTAATCCAATCTGTAGATATGATAGGCGTCTATGCTTCCATTGTTACTGGTTTTCTATTTCGTATAAACAAACTAATTTCGGACCTCACCGGAATAAATTTCACATATATCAGAAATTATTTTGGATTTTCAGATTTTGAATGTTACTTAATTTTAAAGAATCCTAAAATAATTTAAATTTATTTTGAAATCAGTTGGACCCTGCATCGAAATTTCGGGGTTAAAAATATTTCGGACATCACACAAATATGCGAAATTTTGGAAAATTCACTGAAATTTTGGTGAAATGTTTAACCCTACCCATTAGCCAGTAGACTGGAAATCGGTCGACTGACCGGAAAACTGTTTTAATCGATTTACAGACGTGTGCACTAATCGACTGGCCGTAATTTTTTCTAGAATATCAGATTTCTTTAAATTATAATGGTATAAATTGCTGTGAATTATAAGGGTCAGTTGCCTAAACTTATGGTCATGTTTACCAAGCTCGGCATTCACTTAGGGACAAGTGAGGTCTAAGCTTGGGGGGGTTGATTTTGCATTACTATTTCTTGCTGTAAATTCCTCTTTATTATCGATATTTTGCACATTATAGCTCAATTCTAATGCCCTTTCCTCTCATTGCATATTTAACGGAGGAGGGGAATTAACAAAAAATTGTAGAATAGGAGCAAAATAATGACTAGTGAAGAAAGGCATTCCTGGGGTCCGATAAATTGAGAGAAAAATACAAAAAAAAATTCATAGTAAAATATCCACGGAGCCAAAACATTGGATCAGGGGGGCCTGTGAGGCCTACACGGCCACCCCTAGCCGCGTGGGGAGGGTGCATGGGGCCCATGGGCACCGCATCTCTACGCCCTTTGGTTTATATTTGTTATTCCTCCCGAAACACTCGTGGGATTTTTACTATATTTTTTTGCCATCATCTGCAAGGCGTAGTGGAGGCGGAGCACTTTTCTGCTCCCGGAAGGCATATTCTTTCGGATCCTTTCCCTCTGAAAGGGGGTATTTGAAGCCATCGACATCACCGACACTTCTATCATCACGGGGATCATTATCAACAACATCATCATGAGCAACACCATCACCATCGTCATCCATCTCCAACCCTAGTTGTCATCTATGGTCACCCATAAGTCAGCTCCATGTCTGTATATAATTGGCATAAAATTTCTTCGGTCGGTCGAAGAACACCATGCATTGATGGGTGTTCAGATGTTGAAGTTTTCATTTGCGATAAACGACGAGATGAAAACAAAGCACCACAAAACATCTCTTTCTTTGAAACAATTTTCATTTGTGATACTTTGTTTAGGATTCATGTAGAAGTTTGGGCGGCAGGTCAAACTGGATCGTGGCTTACATGGCTAGCCCAACCGCAAAGTATTCTAAGTTAGGTAGAAAACTTGCATATATGTTAATGTTTAGAACTTCAGTTTATTTTCTACCTGTTTCTCAGTGTGACGAGCCGTGATGATTCTCGTTACTGGGAGGAGGAGGAGACCATGCCGAGCTTCATGTCGTCAGAGATCACCAAGCGCAGGGCTCAGAATGTTGACGAGCACAAGGACGCGGGGGAGATAGAGAGTTATGTGTAATCCAATCTGTAGACGATTGGCATCTATGCTTCCATTGTTACTGTTTTTTTTTTAATTTCGGAAACAAACTAATTTCGGACCTCACCGAAATATGCGAAGTTTCCGAAATGTCGCATATTTCGGAAATTATTTCAGATTTTGAGATTTCAAATGCTACTTAATTTTAATGAATTCTAACATAATTTAAGTTTATTTTGAAATCAGCTGGAACCTGCATCTAAATTTTGGGGTTAAAAATATTTCGGGCACCACAAAAATATGCGAAATTTTACTGAAATTTTGGTGAAATCTTTAACCCTACTTACATTGCCCATTAGCCAGTAGACCGAAAATAAATTTTGCACAAGTCGACTGACCAGAAAACTGTTTCAGACGATTTACAGTCGTGCGCACTGGTCTTTTAGCGATGCAGTCGTGCCGGTGCAGCTGAAAATATTTATGGGCTGCCATTTCCCTGCCTTGGCAAGGCCGCAATCTCCTGCTGGCTGTGTTTCTCGACGCAAGGCGTGCCCAGGCTATGTGTGTAAATGTTTCTAGAATATCGTAGTTTTTTTATTTATAATGGTATAAATTGTTGTGAGTTGTTAACTCAATAACTAAAAGAAGAAAAAGGGTCAGTTGCCTAAACTTATGGTCATGTTTACCAAGCTCGGCACTCATTTAGGGACAAGTGAGGTCTAAGCTTGGGGGGGTGATTTTTGCATCACTATTTCTTGCTATAAATTTTTTCTCTACTATCGATATTTTGCACATTATGACTCAATTCTAATGCCCTTTCTTCTCATTGCATATTTACCGGAGGAGGGGAATTAACGGAAAATTGTAGAATAGGAGCAAAATAACGACTAGTGAAGAAAGGCATTTCCCGGGGTCCAATAAATTCAGAGAAAAATACAGAAAATATTTTCAAAATAAAATATCCACGGAGCATAACATGGGGTCGAGGGGCCCTGTGAGGCCTACACGCCCACCCCTAGCCGCGTGGGGAGGGGGCATGGGGCCCACGGGCACCGCATCCCTGCGCCCTTGGCTTATATTTGTTATTCCTCCTGAAACACTGGTGGGAATTTTACTGGATTTTTTTCGCCGTCATCTACAAGGCGTAGCGGAGGCGGAGCACTTTTATGCTCCTGGAAGGCATATTCTTTGGGATCCTTTCCCTCTGGAAGGGGGTATTTGAAGCCATCAACATCACCGACACTTCTATCATCACGGGGATCATCATCAACACCATCACCCGTCATCCATCTCCAACCCTAGCTGTGAACTATGGTCACTTATAAGTCAGCTCCATGTATGTATAAAATTGGCATAAAATTTTGTATGGTAAGAATCTGTGTAGGGAGGGGAAATTAGTGATGCACTTCGGATGTTGAAGTTTCCATTTGTGATAAACAACGAGATGAAAACAAAGCACCACAAAACATCTCTTTCTTTGAAACAATTTACATTTGTGATGCTTTGTTTCAGGATTCATATAGAAGTTTGGGCGGCAGGTCAAAATGGATCGTGGCTTACATGGCTAGCCCGACCGCAAAGTACTCTAAGTTAGGTAGTAAACTTACATATATGTTAATGTTTAGAACTTTAGTTTATTTTCTACATGTTTCTTGGTGTGCCGAGTTTACTCATGTTTGCGTCTGAATAAGAGTTTACTTATGTATAGCCATTTTTTTGCTAGGAGTAATTTTGATTTTTATTCCTTTCTAGCCAACGTATGAGGCCACATAATAAGAAGCATAATATCATGTTGATTAGGTTCGGGGATTATGACTCTTTGCTTCCATTCAATATTTGGGGAACTGCACTACACCATGTTTTGAGCATATAGTGTTAGGATTGAAGTCCGAATGCTCATACACATTGTTAATGATAAGCTGGCCTGAAGTACTTGTTCCTTTTTTTTTCCTTCCTGGAGTTCGGTATATAGCTTGATATTCAATTATGTTAGGAATCTAGAATTGTTCCATTTTTTCCTTCTGAATCTAGGTCCAAGGAGGTACAACGGCTGTTTCTTTCCCCTTTGGGTTGTGCCCTTGTTACTTACTGCTGGTTACCTGAGCATTACCATGCTTCAGGGTTGCTTCCAGAGATGACTAAAGATGTTGTATGTCCATTGCTATGCATGTCAGCAATACCTGTTACCCATCACATTGATGGTTTATGGCCATGTTCGTCCGCTGGCAGCCTCCACCTCTCATTCTCATTTTCAAAAGAAGAAAAAGAAATACACAACATGCAGGTGGCAACCCAATCAAACGGGTTTAAGCAAGTTATATAGGGTCGTGGCATTATAACATCAACACCAAAACATAATATAGATAGAACTAAGCATTATTCAAAAGGCCAAAACTAATTAAAATAACAAGTTCAATGAGCAGAGTGCCTGCCAAAGTTGGCCAGAGCTGCTTCTCCAAGAAACAATATAAACACTTCATGTTCCTTCATACCCGCCCAAAAGCAAAACAAAGGAAACCCCAATACAGTCGTCATGGCCAAACATCAACCAAATCCCACACACAGAGACCTAGCGAGGGAGAGACCGCTCCGGTCCAGAGCTCAGATCAGATCGGCGACGTTCATCGGCATCTCGTCGATCTGCGTGCTGTAGTACTGCTCAATGTCCCTCAGGATACGGATGTCATCCTTGCGCACAAAGTTGATCGCCACACCCTGCACATCATTTTTTTTTCATATATACGTCAAGCAACAAGAGTATTAATTGTGCAAACAATTGGGATGCAGAGAGCAAACATTTGTTTCAGATAGGTGAGTCACACGCTACATGTTCACTTTTCAGAGTTTCATCAAAAACAATCTTAGGCAGTCCCATAGAGGGGTGACTCAAGTTTCGCAGGAGGGGTGGGTGTGTAACTTTACCTTGCGCCCAAAACGCCCAGAGCGGCCGATGCGATGGATGTAAAGCTCACGGTTATTCGGGAGATCATAATTAATGACAAGAGAGACCTGAACAAAGGCAAATACATTCAGCCAGTAACCAAAATAAGAATCATGCAACAGCATGCTTAAGGGTACCAAGACTTGCCTGCTGAACATCCAGCCCTCGAGCCCAAACATCTGTTGTGATCAGAACACGGGTCGTGCCACTCCTGAAATCACTCATGATTGCATCCCTTTCCTTCTGAGGCATGTCACCATGCATAGCTGATACGGTAAAGTTGTTGGTGCGCATCCTTTCAGTAAGCCAATCCACCTGGCCAAAAGGGAACAACTATCGTTTAGCAAGCTGTCAACCATCAATTATGTCAACTGGACATGGTTAACAAATCTGGACAAGATTTCATACACTTTGAGCCAAAGCAGCACATCGCTACAGTTTAATAGTGTAACCAACAGCAATCAACTGAGCTACACATTACCTTTCTCTTAGTATTGCAGAAAATGACAGCCTGAGTGATGGTCAGTGTATCATAAAGATCGCACAGAGTATCAAACTTCCATTCCTCCTTCTCAACAGCAACAAAGAATTGTTTGATGCCCTACAAACATGACATGAAAAATATAAGTGCTAAATAAGACACAATACACTAAAGCAAAACAAGTGGTGACATTTACCTCTAGGGTCAACTCATCACGCTTTACAAGGATCCTGACTGGATCAGTCATGAACTTGCTAGTTATCTCCAAGATGTCATGGGGCAGAGTTGCAGAGATCAAGACAACCTGCATATGGTTCAATAATAATACACAATTAGAAAAGTATGAGGTCTCTGCCTTTATTTCTAGCCATGAGGCTTGGTGCTCATGTTAAGTTTAACTCTAAAATGCCTGCTTTTCCCATTTAGAGTTCACTGCTAAGAGAATGTTACAAATGCTCAACCAATAACAAGCTGAAAAAATGAACAATAAAGCAAGGACACACAAATCTGTTCCTATAGTTAAACAAACCATTCATGGCTAGGTACTGGCAGATGATTATAGTAAAAGGTGCAAGACATGGGTATTGCACAAGGAAAAAGTCAAGTCAGAAAGGTGAAAGAGACAAAAAAAATACAAGCAGGTGGCAACTTGAATTCTGTAGTAAAACACATCAGCACGATGACAGGACAGACTGGTAAAGTACACAAAAGAGCAGTTTGAGAAAGGCTTAATTTCAATGACCGACCTGAAGTTCTGGGGGGAGGTATCTGTAGACATCATAGATCTGATCCTTAAAACCTCTGGTCAACATCTCATCGGCTTCATCCTAATATGGAAGAATGTTAACACTTGTAGAACTTGGTGCAAACAAAAAAAAACAAATGCAGTATGGCAATGGCAAACTAACCAGGACTAGCAGCTTGATGGCTCTTGTGCGCAAGGTCCTTCTCTTGATCATATCACATACCCTGCCTGGGGTTCCCGAAACAACATGCACTCCAGCCTCAAGCTTCCTAATATCCTCACCGATACTTTTGCCACCGACACAGGCATGCACAGACACACTCATGTAGTTCCCAACAGCTTGCATCACCCTCTCTGTTTGCGTGGCAAGTTCCCTAGTTGGTGACAGTATCAATGCTTGCACCCTGCAGAATAAAAATTGTACCCAATATTAAGTTGAGCTTTCTATTACGGAGCAAGTGCTATATATACATTATCAAAGCTAGTGCCCTACAGAGGTAAACAATGGTGTATCGCAGAGTAACACACTGGTAAATGCATAAGAAAATAAATATGTGGTGGCGCTAGCACAGATGGGGAACCACAATGTTCGCCCATATAACAAGGAAAGCCCAGAGCTATGCCAAGAGATATGCACATCCTTAAGAAAAGCGACATCAGGAAAGCAAATTAAAGGAATTGGTCGCGCAGGAGACAAACAAATTTAAGCAATTGCATCAGACAAAACAACCACAAGTTTGGAGAGTTACCTGAAAGAAAACATCCACCTGGAGTTAGCCTCCCTTCAACTCCCTGAAAAACAAATCATTCCTCTGCATCTTCTTTCATGTTGAAAGAATCACTGATGGTAGGAAATGTTAAAAGTTACAGAGTAATAAACAAGCAATTACAGTTCTAAAGAATAAGAAATTCCTACAAACATATGTTGGAAGGCATATACACAGGACACTATGTTGTTTAACAGTAGCAAGCTCTGGTGCACTTTTACATCAAATTACTACAAACAAATGATGAAAATGTAGGAATTTTCAGCAGTTCTACAGTGACAAAAAAAATGAAGTTGCAAGGGGGGATATGATGTAGTTAGAACACAATTGATTGATGCAACCTGAAATTGACCCAAATACAGGAGCATTTGCGTTTTTAACCTAGGAAGAACAAATACACAATCTAACTGCAGAGTAATAAGGCCAAAAACAACGAAGGGAAATTATAAATGGACACTCCGTTTTTTCTATTGAAACTACAGTAAAATCAATTAAAATAGCAGTTACCCAAACTGCAGGTACAACATCAATTTGGCATTTAAAGAACAGTAATGGGATGTTTGAAAATTACAGTTAGAAAGAACTAAAAATAAAAATAACGCTAGGTTGCAATAACTATAAAATCCAAGTGAACCACAGTGTAAGAACTGCAGCTTTGAAAATTACATTTTAACAGAACTAAAAATACAATAAAGCTAGGCTGTAATAACAGACAAGTGTAATAACAGTGCTGGTAGTCTTTGAAAATTACAATTTATACCATAACTAAAAATACAAAATAAACTATCCACATTGTAAACTAGGGTGTAAGAGCATTACCGTGAGCTTTGATCTTAGAAAAATACATTTTAACAAGTACACTACTGTGAGCTTTGATCTCAGAAAAATACTCCCTCCGTACCATAATGTAAGACGCTTTTTGACACTAGTTAATAACAATACTATCCAAGTGTAAAGCAAAGTGTAAGAACATTACCGGGAGATCTGAATTTTACAGTTTAACAGAACTAAAAATACAAAGAAACTATGCTATAGTAACAGTTATAAAGAAACCAGTATAATTTTAACAGTTTATTAGTGTGCGAATGTTTTAACAGATTCCACGAATCTATTGCAAAATCCACATGCCATCACAAAATCAAGAACACGGGCGGTCCCGCACACGGCACGAACGAATCTAGGCGAATGAGACGAGTTGTGGCAGCGGCCGATGGCAATCCAAGGCGATCCAGCGAGAGCGAGGGTAGCAGAGGGAGGGGGCGGGACGGGCAATGGCTTACTCGTGGATGTTGGTGTCGACGAGCTGGCAGACGGAGAGGGAGACCATGGAGGTCTTGCCGGTGCCGGACTGGGCCTGGGCGATGACGTCGCGGCCGGCGATGATGGGGACGACGGCGCGCTGCTGGATGGCGGAGGGCTTCTCGAAGCCGTAGCCGTAGATGCCGCGGAGAAGGTCCTCGCGGATGCCCATCGCGTCGAAGCTCCCCACGACCTCCACCCCCGCCGAGGTCTCGAAGCTGAGCTTGTCGTCGTCCATCGGCCCGCGCCTGGAGGACCCCGCCGCCGCCGCCGCCGCCATTACAGAAACCCTAGCCTGTGGGGGGATGAGACGTGGGGAGCAGCAGAGGAGGAGGATGGCTCTTTTGCGCCTGGGTACCTGGCGGCTCCGGCTATTCCGTTTTTATAGCCTGAACTGCGATGCGAGGTCGGTTTGATAGGAGGGAAGAGTTTTCTCGGAGTTTGGGGTGGTTTGTGTGAAAATGGCGTCACGGGCCGTGGCGTCACGGGCCGTGTGGGGCCATGGGCTGTTATTTTGACAAAAGGAATCCTAGAAAATGAAACAAATAAGCTGAGTTAGGTCAAATCAAGCCCATGCCTAGAAAAAAAAAAGCACATTCCAGCCTTGCTGCAAATGAAGCACAACTACCAGTCTGGAGACCAACATTCATGCTACTGTGAAGCCCCATATCACCCCCTCTCGCACTGCATTTGCTCTCACTTGGGATTTGTTGCGCTGGCTGCGGATTCACTGCTCTAAAACAAAGGAAATCCACCACACACGCGTGATCTCTACGTTGGAGCAACAACCCCCAATCGCCCTGACCTAAACGCTCCCGACGAGCCCCGCTGGCCCACAATCGCTGCACTGTCGACTACCCCTCTGCCCAACGAGCGCCGCTCATCGAACCCCTGATTTTGTACTGACACCTAGCATTTTCAGCTCGATTTGGGCGAGGTGTGTGGAATACCTGTGCCGACGGAGCGTTGTTGTTGATTCTTTCGTCGTGCACACCTCCACTCCCCGTCGTCATCGTGGCTCACCGCCGCGTGGCCTCTCTTCATCAGCTACTGCCCGAGTAGCGCCTGGATCTGACGCCCCTGCAAAAATGTCCCCGAGACGCTAGGCGGATGAGCACGACGGGGTTGAAGCCGGGCCCGTGCTGCTGTCTAGGCGGGCGCGTGAGAGACACCAGCACTGCACGATTAAACTCGATCGGACGGCTCGCAAGGAGGTTTGTGCCGGCCAGCATCAGTCGGTTGAAATAAAGGGTTTCCTCTAACTTTGTTTTGAGACAAATTCCTTTTTTAGGGTTTTTGTGACAATTTCCTATTAAATTTTTTTTGAGTGGTTACAATTTCCTATTACTTTTTTTGAGGCAATCTTGCGAAGCTTTTATTTAACTCGGCACAATGTTTACAGGGACGAAATAAAGATCACCTGGGTTGCCTAACCACACACGGCGGCCTACACCAAGTGAGAGAGCATGCTTCGCTAAATTGTGAGCCCCGACATTCGAGCTCCTAAATTCATGGCTAAAAAAGCAAAAAGCTTAAGACTTGGAACGATCTACAATCTCCCTAATGATAGCACCATAGGCCGCTACACTCCCCTGTCTGATGTCATCAATAACATTTTTGCAATCCGAGGCCACCGAGATCCCGCGCTCGTAGAGGTCATCCGCCAACGCAAGTGACTCCTGTACTGCCAAGGCCTCAAGCTTCATGGGATTGTCCAAGCCTTGGAAGGTAATCGTGGATGCGCCTAAGAAAACTCCATGCTGGTCTTTGCATATCGTTGAAACCGCTCCGACCGGTCTGTTTCTCAACAACGCAGCATCGACGTTGATCTTGCAGGTTCCGTCCCGTGGTGGCACCCACTGGCTCGAGCGCGGCTGCTTAGCTGTAGGACTCCCATGTGGTTTAGCTAAAACCTGGAGATCATTGATGAAAGAGGTCACTAATGCATTAGTTGAGTATGGTGTTTGGTGCACCCCCTCGTGAATCAACTTTCTCCTAGAGCTCCAAATCGCCCATAGAGTAACCCCGAGCCTTGTGAAGTCCACATGTGATAATGAATTTTCCATAGTGAACAGCCATGCTTTTGCGCTTGGATAGTCGCAGTGTTGGGAAACGTAGTAATTTCAAAAAAAAATCCTACGCACACGCAAGATCATGGTGATGCATAGCAACGAGAGGGGAGAGTGTGTCCACGTACCCTCGTAGACCATAAGCGGAAGCGTTAGCACAACACGGTTGATGTAGTCGTACGTCTTCACGGCCCGACCGATCAAGCACCGAAAGCACGACACCTCCGAGTTCTTGCACACGTACAGCTCGATGACGTCCCTCGAACTCCGATCCAGCCGAGTGTCGAGGGAGAGTCCCGTCAGCACGACGGCGTGGTGACGATGATGATGTTCTACCGATGCAGGGCTTCGCCTAAGCACCGCTATGATATTATCGAGGTGGATTATGGTGGAGGGGGGCACTGCACACGGCTAAGAGATCAATGATCAATTGTTGTGTCTAGAGGTGCCCCCCTGCCCCCATATATAAAGGAGCAAGGGGGAGGGGGCGGCCGGCCAGGAGGGGGCACGCCAAGAGGAGTCCTACTCCCACCGGGAGTAGGACTCCCTTCTTTCCTTGTCCAAGTAGAAGAGGGGGGAGGAAGGGAGAGAGGGGAGGAAGGAAAGGGGGCGCCGCCTCCCTCCTTGTCCTATTCGGACTAGAGGGGGAGGGGGGTGCGACCTGGCCTGGCCGCCCCTCCTCTTCTCCACTTTGGGCCCATGAGGCCTATTAAACCCCCGGGGGGCTTCCGGTAACCCCCGGTACTCAGGTATATATATATCCGATAACCCCCGAAACTATTCCGGTGTCCGAATATAGTCGTCCAATATATCAATCTTCATGTCTCGACCATTTTGAGACTCCTCGTCATGTCCGTGATCACATCCGGGACTCCGAACTACCTTCAGTACATCAAAACATGTAAACTCATAATATAACTGTCATTCAACTTTAAGCGTGCGGACCCTACGGGTTCGAGAACAATGTAGACCTGACCGAGACATGTTTTCGGTCAATAACCAATAGTGGAACCTGGATGCTCATATTGGCTCCCACATATTCTACGAAGATCTTTATCGGTCAAACCGCATAACGACATACGTTGTTCCCTTTGTCATCGGTATGTTACTTGCCCGAGATTCGATCGTCGGTATCCAATACCTAGTTCAATCTCGTTACTGGCAAGTCTCTTTACTCGTTACATAATGCATCATTCCGTAACTAACTTATTAACTACATTGCTTGCAAGGCTTATAGTGATGTGCATTACCGAGAGGGCCCAGAGATACCTCTCCGACAATCGGAGTGACAAAACCTAATCTCGAAATACGCCAACCCAACATGTACCTTTGGAGACACCTGTAGTACTCCTTTATAATCACCCAGTTACGTTGTGACGTTTGGTAGCACCCAAAGTGTTCCTCCGGTAAACGGGAGTTGCATAATCTCATAGTTACAAGAACATGTATAAGTCATGAAGAAAGCAACAGCAACATACTAAACGATCAAGTGCTAAGCTAACAGAATGGGTCAAGTCAATCACATCATTCTCCTAATGATGTGATCCCGTTAATCAAATGACAACTCTTTTGTCCATGGTTAGGAAACATAACCATCTTTGATAAACGAGCTAGTCAAGTAGAGGCATACTAGTGACACTATGTTTGTCTATGAATTCACACATGTATTATGTTTCCGGTTAATACAATTCTAGCATGAATAATAAACATTTATCATGATATAAGGAAATAAATAATAACTTTATTATTGCCTCTAGGGCATATTTCCTTCACACCAGCCCACCAGGGGCTGGTTCCCCTCCCACTTCAGCCCATGGGGCCCTCCGGGATGGGTGGCCCCACCCGGTGGACCCCCGGGACCCTTCCGGTGGTCCCGGTACAATACCGGTGACCCCAAAACTTTCCCGATGGCCGAAACTCAACTTCTCATATATAATTCTTTACCTCCGGAACATTCCGAAACTCCTCGTGACGTCCAGGATATCATCTGGGACTCCGAACAACTTTCAGTTTGCTGCATACAAATATCTCTACAACTCTAGCGTCACCGAACCTTAAGTGTGTAGACCCTATGGGTTCGGGAGACACGTAGGCATGACCAAGACGGCTCTCCGGTCAATAACCAACAGCGGGATCTGGATACCCATGTTGGCTCCCACATGCTCCTCGATGATCTCATCGGATGAACCATGATGTCGAGGATCCAGGCAACCCCGTATACAATTCCCTTTGTCAATCGGTATGTTACTTGCCCGAGATTCAATTGTCGGTATCCCAATACCTCGTTCAATCTCGTTACTGGCAAGTCACTTTACTCGTACCGTAATGCATGATCCCGTGACCAGACACTTGGTCACTTTGAGCTCATTATGATGATGCATTACCGAGTGGGCCCAGAGATACCTCTCCGTCATACGGAGTGACAAATCCCAGTCTCGATCCGTGTCAACCCAACAGACACTTTTGGAGATACCCATAGTATACCTTTATAGTCACCCAGTTACGTTGTGACGTTTGGTACACCCAAAGCACTCCTACGGTATCCGGGAGTTACACGATCTCATGGTCTAAGGAAAAGATACTTGACATTGGAAAAGCTCTAGCAAACGAACTACACGATCTTGTGCTATGCTTAGGGTTGGGTCTTGTCCATCACATCATTCTCCTAATGATGTGATCCCGTTATCATGACATCCAATGTCCATAGTCAGGAAACCATGACTATCTGTTGATCAACGAGCTAGTCAACTAGAGGCTCACTAGGGACATGTTGTGGTCTATGTATTCACACGTGTATTACGATTTTCTGGATAATACAGTTATAGCATGAATAAAAGACAATTATCATGAACAAGGAAATATAATAATAATCCTTTTATTATTGCCTCTAGGGCATATTTCCAACAATATTGGTGTAAAGCGCATGAAGAAACTCCATACTGATGGACTTCTGAAATCACTTGATTATGAATCACTTGGCACTTGCGAACCATGCCTCATGGGCAAGATGACTAAAACGCCGTTCTCCGGAACTATGGAGCGAGCAACAGATATATTGGAAATCATACATACCGATGTATGCGGTCCAATGAATGTTGAGGCTCACGGCGGGTATCATTATTTTCTCACCTTCACAGATGATTTGAGCAGATATGGGTATATCTACTTAATGAAACATAAGTCTGAAACATTTGAAAAGTTTAAAGAATTT